ACATGATTCAAGATGGCATCCCAAACTGCCAAAGACGGTCCAAAAAGGCCTCCAAGACAGCCCAAGATGGCTGGATGTTTGCGGTGTTTTCGCTCTTTCAGAACTTCCCTCGGGGGGTTCGGCCGATGCTGCCGGCCAACCGGAAGGCTGCGTTCGAAGTGGCTGCAATAGTTTTTGCTGGTCTGGATGGCTCCAAGATGGCCCAAGCTGGCCTCCAAGACTCCCAAGATGGCTCCGAGTTCGACCAAGATGGTCCAAGATGGCCCCCAAGACGGCCCAAAAAGGTCCAAGACGCCTGCAAGTCCGCCCAAGAAGCCTCCAAGACGGTCCAAGAGGCCCCCAAGAGGCCTCAAAGACTTCCTAAGATGCCCCCAAGAAGTCCTCCAGGAGGGCCCGAAGAGGCCGAAATCGATTTGCCATAGGTTGTTGACAGATTGTTGCATCTGCTTCTCTTCGGCACTCCGACGGCCCGAGACGGCCCAAGAAAACTCCAAGATCGCTGAAGAGGCCCCAAAAAGATGGCCCCATGACTGCCAAGATGCCCCAAATACTGCCCCAAGACGGCCCAAAAGGCCTCCAACACGGCCCAAGACGACTTCAATGACGGCCCTGAAGCACCACAGAATTGACCCAGATCGATTCAGAAGAAAGACCCCCTAAACGGCGTCCGACGACGTCAGACATGCTGGAAACGCCCTGCGACGGCCAGGGAGGCCCCCAAGAAGCCCCAAAGGAGCCCACAACCAATACAATTAGTACTACTGCTGCACATGCCCCAGTGGGTGCATACCGGAGCACGTCCCAAAGGGTGCGCGCGTATACGTAGTATTACGCTCGTGTCCTAATGGGTGCGTACGAAGCACGTCCCAGAGGGCGTGCGTACTACACGTGTCCCAGTGGGCGCGTGCAGTGGCACGTCCTGGAGGGTGCGCGTGTATGGCGTGTGAGAGTGGTGCGGCTACTAGCTACTAGCTACTAGCTCAAGAGGCTCCCAGGAGGGCTCCTTCTACTCTTCCTCTTCCTCCTCCTCCTCCTCCTCTCCTCTTCCTCCTCCTCCTCCTCCTCCTCCTCCTCCTCCTCCTCCTCCTCCTCCCCCCTCATCCCCCTCCTACTCATTATCCCCCTCTCTCTCCTGACTCTCCACCTCATGCTCCCCCCCAAGTGTTCTCCGAAAAGGCTTCCGCTGCGGCTCGGGGAGCACCTGGCCCGAGAACAGAATCCAAGCTCTGGACCCAAACGTTCGACCACAGAGGCGCTCTCCGAAGAGGCGGGCGCGGCGGTGACTCGCCGCCGGCGCCTTCGACACAGACCCCCTCCCCTGGCAAAGCGTGCACCTATAGAAACCCTTGCCTGGGCGGCGTCGGACCACTGGCCGGGTGTGCCAGGTGTGTTCGGCCGGTGTGCCGGGCTGCTTGGCGCCTCGCGGGCGCCTCGTCGTGGGCGGGGCCTGCGGAGGTGTCGCCCGGGGCCCGCCCGTGGGCGCCTCAATGGCGCCGCGCGCGCCGGGCGGGGCCTGCCGAGGTGTCCCGAGACTCGAAAGTGGGCGCCCCGTGGGCGCCTCGTGGGCGCCGGGCGGGCGGCGCCGAGGGGTCGCGGGGTGCCCCGCCCGTGGGCGCCTCGAGGGCGCCGAGCGTGCGCCTCGTGCGCCCTGCGCGTGGGCGCCTCACGAGCGCCGCGTGGCCGCCTCGTGCGCTGGGCGGCCGCGCACAAACTGCGCGACACGGCGTTTTGCTGCACAGCTGGCAGCACATGGCAGCACGACATATGGCCTTCACCGGACAGCTCACAACGGACGACTGGCAATACACATCTCACACCGCCTATGGTGCACGGGAGAGCCGACTCTCTGTTATTTCCACCTCGTAGCGTGCACCGCATAGCTTACACCACATGGTTGACACATCATAGCTTAGACTATATATATATATATATATATATATATATATATATATGTGTGGGAGCTCAAAGTTTTAACAACATGGCCTGTACCACAGATATATGCTGCCGAATAGCTTACACCACGTGCCTTGTTTACAGGTCCACCGTGTAATAGGCTCATGTGTGGGGTCCACGCTGGCAAACATCGAAAAAGAGATCGTGCGTGCGTGTGAAAGGAAGGAAAATAATGAACATCGAATTAAGATGAAGAGGGAGAGAACGACGGAGAGAGAAGGACTGGAAGCAAAGGCATAGATCAACAATGTCGGGGAGGACGAATGATACGGAGGCGGGAACAGCCAGCCCTCCCCAGATGCTCTGATTAGGCTGCGAAGAGACCACTTGACTACTGTCTTCTTGGTGTCGCCTGCCTTCGCTTGCTCTCATGCCCCAGAATATTGGCATCACAGCGTGGCTCATTGTGTATCGATGCTCGCCTGCTAAAGCCCAAGAGGCTGCATGATGGCCTCAGCGCGGCCCTCAGAAGCCTAAATATGCACACGGGATCGCCCGAGATGGCCCAAATGCGTCCCATCGAGGCCCCAAAGTACCCGCGATGTAGCCCAAGGTGGCCCAACCGGGCCGCAAGGCTCGCCCCAAGATTCCACCCCGAGGGCACCAAGAGGTCCCCCTGGGAGGCTCCATGGCGTCATTCAGATCACCCTCGTGGCGCAAGGTGGCCCCCCAACATGGCCCCAGGATGTCACGAGTGCGAGTGGCCCGAAGATGACCCAAAGAGGCCACGAGGTTGCCCCGAGAAGCCCCAGGGCAGCCCCACGAAGGCTGAACCTGAGGCACCAGCAGCAGAAGGCAACACCCTTCAAATATACACACGGGCGCACTCAATCACAGGGTTTGAGGGGGAGAGAGAGAGAGAGAGAGAGAACAAAAAAAAAAAACAAAAAAAGAAACCAACAAAATATGAGTGAGTGAAAGAAAAAGACACACAGTGATATGGAGAGAGAGGGAAAGAGGGAGGGAGAGAGAGCGAGAGGGAGAGAGCGAGAGAGAGAGAGAGAGACGAACAGAGAGAGAGAGAGAGTGGTGCAGCAAACAATAAGGGGAGGACCACGCTGCAGTTACAGCAAGCCGCTGGCCCCTCGCGCACCTGCCCAGATCGGGAGCAGGACGCGCTTTAGAAGGCCTTAAACGGGGCGCGCGGCAGCAGCGGCGCGCGGGTAACCACCCATGGCCGCTGCTCCTGCGCTGTTCGGGCATCGAGGCCGGGAGGCCAGAGACAGAGGGACACCCCCACACACACACACACCATCCCCTGAGCATGAGCTTCGGGCATTCGCTTCGGGGTCCCAAAACGGTGCGGTGGCGGACCGCGCGGTGACCTCGGCATCCCCCAAGAACTCACCGCACGGTCCGGCCACCGCACGGTGTTGGGACCTTGGAGGCCCCAGTCCCCCGAGACGTCCTCGCATTTGGACACCCGAAATGGGTACCGAAAGAATGGGCAACATGCCCAACAACAAATGTTGTCCCGAACCAACAGCGGCCGCTGTTGGGCGGGCGGCCTCCTGTCTCGAATGGACACAGGCCGCGGCGGCGCGGACAGCGAGTCCTGTTCAAAATGAGCAGGAACTGCTGTTGGGCATCGTACCCATTCTTTCGGTACCCATGTCGGGCGTCCAGATCGGAGCGCGACCCAAGTCCCAAAACCGTGCGGTCTCCCCGAGCCCCCGCGGACTCGCCACACGGGCGAGGTCACCGCCCCGTGCCGGGGGCCCCCGAGAGCTCGCGTTTGTGGCAGACCTGCGCAGGCGCCGGGCAAAACCCCCTCCCCACGCCAAGCGCACCGAGGGGGGGCCGCCCACCGAAGGCGCCGTCTCCAGGCGTGGGGAGGTAAAACGACGTGAAGATCGGGACAAAATCGGATCGGGATAACTCGAAATCTCTGAAAATCTGCGGGTTTGGAGGATGTATTGGGCGCCGCGGCCGCTCCAGAGCGTTCTGGAACGCTCTGAGAGCGCTCTGGAACGCTCTGGAGCGATTTATCCAGATCCTAGCCCTGTTTTAGGAGGTGGCCGGGCGCCAGCGGAAACACCTGCCCCCCGCGGGCATCCAGGGCTTGCGCGACCGCAGCGTGCACTCGGACAGAAAGAACTTCCATCGGCTTCCCGGCGGCCTCCGAGAGGCAGGAAAGACAGCGGACGCCGGGCGTATATACACTAAGGTATCTGGGCCATGTGCACACTCAAGTATATCTGGGCAACGTATAGTGCATCATTTTCAGGCAGGTTCTTCGGGCGACTGGTGTTGAACAGAATGGGTGCACTGCGGTTTGGCCGCCATTTGCCACTAAATGGTGGACAAACACAAATGCAATAACGGACCCCGAATCAAGGATGTCACGGCACAAAGGTTTTCGGCCCCCTATGGGGCCTCGCATCTGGCCGAAAGCATGGCGCTCCTAAAAACTGCCGGCCTCAACATGCCGAAGACGGTGGAAGACTGCTGGAGTGTCCGCCAACGCCCGTGTGCTCTCTCTGGCCTCCGAGACTCGATAATCCTCAGAACGTGTGCTAATGCCAACGCGTGCTCGTCCACCGAAGCACCTCAACACGACGCAGGCCGGCCGTGCAATGAGGTCCGACACGGGCTGCGCGTGCCATCGGAGCTCCACGGGATGGGTATAACACACACATACTTTTTCGGGCGCACGCAGCCGGGGCAGCCGCTGGGACGCTCAAAGCACAGACAGACACAGACACACAGACACACAGACACACAGACACACAGACACACACACACACACACACACACGTACACACACAGACGTACACACACACACACAAACAAACACACACACACACACTTTTGGCGTCGCGGCCAAGCGCGCAGCGACAGGGCATATAAGGTTGAAGAGTAACACACAAATGCACTCTGGGCTAGCACACGTCCCGAGGATCGTCGAGAGATGCACCTCCGCGCTCCTCTCCTCGTCTTGAGGCTGGAGTGGGGCCGGTGCGCCCGCGCCAGCTGCCCAGCGGCCCTCCGGGCCGTCCGGGTTCGGAATGCCCGCCGAGCTCAGCGCACATTGGCGCGCTCACAGCTCACGAGCCCTTGCCGACCCAGGTGGCCTTGATGATGCGCTTTCCTTAGTGTCTGGCTGATCACGCGGCCGATCACGCCAACCAAGCACATGATCCTATCGCAGATGGCTTCCGCGCCGAGCACGGACCGATCACACAGTGAAGCTCAAGCTGAACCGATCACGTGATCGGCGATCGCTTGATCCTCTGATTACTGCGACCTGTAACCGCCGATCGCACGATCAGCAGACACTGAGGCGCTTTCGATACACGGTCTTCAGCCCCGGGAAGTTGGGGGACGCGTGCTCCTTGCGAGGCGGGAATTTACCGATATCCACCACCTGGGAACCGCTGTCCTGGGATACTAGGAGGGTGTTGGATGTGGATGTGGATGCACACACGTATGTAAAAGTTGTATTATGTATGTGTATATATACATACATGTGTGTATTTGTATCGATATATGTATACATACATACATACATACATACATACATACATACATATATACATTTATATATATATATATATATACTCGGGCCCCCCTGGGGCCCAAATATATCCACAGCCGAAAGATCGGGTTCCCAGGGGGTGAAATTGGATCAATCCCAGCGTCGGACTCCTCTTCCACGTTCACCACCTCCTGGTCGAGCTGCACCTGCGCGCGGGCACGAATTCTCGATGCCAGCACTAGTTGTCACGGCGGTAGCGGGGGACGCGAGGTTCTGGGGCCTCCAGAATCAACAACCGCGTTCCACTACTCGCTAAGTAGCTACTCGCAACTGGCCTGAATCTGCCGCGGCGGATTTACGCTCTTTTACATTGAAGAAGACAAATGTTTACGAACGTTTGCGAGTAGGCACTTTGCGAGTAGTGGAACGCACTCGGTGACACAAGGGCCCCAGATCTGGTCGAAATCGCCACAGCAACCCCCACACACACACAGCACTCCCAACATGGGGGAGATCGAGCGAAGCTTCGGCCAGCGCCGCCCACCTGAGCGACGATCAAACACGGGCCTTGCGCCAGATGGCGCAGCGACCTGACGCCGCAGCTTGCGCGGACAGCCAGCGCGGCGCGCTGCATTGGAAGCGAGGGCGCTTTGCGCGCGACCTTACGCTTAAGTCGGGCCTGTCCCCCTACAGGAGATTTTCGACGAAAAATAAAGAATGCCCCAAACATAATCCAAAAATAGTCCTTTTGACCTTTTTGGGGTATTCTTGGGATGCTTTTATTTTTCGTGGAAAAAAACCCTGTAGGGGGACACGCCCGACTTAATCTTACGCGGGCAGCTTACGCGCCCATGTCGGTGAAGACGAACCCGTTTCCTCCCGTCGCCCGCCTGGTTCTCGTCTATCTCCAGCTGCCGGCGCAGGATCCGGCGGGCGCTGAGGAACTGGTTCTCGTCGGGCCGGCGCTTCGCTCCAGGCAGCCGGTCCAGCACCTTCGTGGTGCCGTCGGGGGAGATCTGCTCCGTCTGCACGAGCACTTCGCCTGTGGCCGCCCGGACGATCATCATGACGACGACGTCTACCACGCGGATGATGTTGCCATCTTGGTCTTGCATGAGGGTGGACTCGCCCCTGATGAGCTCGGCGGAGAACTCCTTGAGGGTCTTCGTGGTGCCCTGGCCGAAGGCGGTCACGTCCACGCCCAGGCTCCTCAGGTGGAGCCTCAGGGCGTCCTGGGTGGGCGCTGCTGGCGGCGGTGCCGGGGCGTGGCTAGAGGACGAGCAATCACATAAACACACATTGTCGGAGCACCGCGCGGATTTCTTGGATCTGCGCAGGATCCCCCTCCCTGGCGCGTGGAATGCGCCACGGGCGGCGCTGGAGGCGCCGCCAGGGAGGGCCTAGCGTCAATCCGAGAAACCCGCCGAAAATCATTGTTTATGCTTGTTTTCTTCTTCGAGTGGATACCGCTCTGGGCTACATGACTACACTGGGGGCCTCTCGAGCCTGGCTGGAGGGACAACCCCCCCGTGGCTGTCTGTGCGCCACCCCGAGCTTTCCCCAAGCGTCCTCGCTCAGGCCGATGGGCGCCCTCACCAGGGTGGACACGGCCTCGGCGCCCTCGGGCTTCAGCTTCACCTTCTTGGCCTCCGCCTGGGCATCCTGATGCAGGCGCGGTGGCGAGGACAGGGATGACAAGGAGGTGCACCCAAAGCCTACCCCCCACCTGTCCGCTCCTCCCCCTCCCCCTCCTCCTCCCCTCCTCCTCCTCCTCCTCCCCCTCCTCCTTCCTCCTCCTCCTCCTCCTCCTCCTCTCTCCTCCTCCTCCTCCTCCCCCTCCTCCTCCTCCTCCTCCTCTCCCCTCCTCCTCCTCCTCCTCCTCCCCCCTCCTCCTTCCTCCTCCTCCTCCTCCTCCTCCTCCTCCTCCTCCTCTTCCTTCTCCTCCTCCGCCTCTTCCTCCTCCTCTTCCTCCTCTTCCTCTTCGACCCCCCGCTGCTCTCCTCCTCCGCCCTCATCCCTCCCTTTCCTGCTCCTCCTCCTCCTGCATCCCTCTCTCCATCCCTCTGCAGACATCCGACGCCACGATCGTTTTATGGCATCGGTCTACCAGGCCGTACGCACCAGCAATTCAGCGCGAACATTCCGCCGACGGCACAGAGGGCCCGAGACCGGCCACCCTGGATGCATCAAAACAAAAAGCACAAGACGGCCGCCGCAGTCGTTCTCGTGACCCGCCACGTGTGGATCCTCCCTCATCCTCATCAGTCTCTTACTCTTGCCCCAAACAGCCTCATTCTCCTCCGACCGCCCTCTGGAAGCCTCCTCCCCCGTCCCCCCTCCAGGCAGGAGGAGGGACGAGGAGTACGAGGAGGGGCCTTCCTTGTTTTCCCGTCGCTTCGCGGGCCGCATGCCTGAACAGCAAAAACCGCATGGGCCAGCATCTGACCCTCAGGCTCAGCCCGAGGCAGGCGCTGCCGATACCTACTCTGCACCACCAGCCCGTTTTTTTTTGGGGGGGGGCAGGAGGGGGGACGAGGAGGGAAGACTCCTGCTCATCCTCCTCCTTCCAGACCAAGATTCGAGGTGCGGATCGGTTAGTCAGTACAGGCTTTGAGCACCGACGGACATCCCCCCAGGCCCTCGCCAGGGGGAGGGGAAGAAAAAGAGCCACCCTTCCCCCTCCCTCATCCCGTTGCAACAGCCTCCTCATCCTCCTCCTTCACCTCACCCTCGCCATCACCAGCCGCCTCCCTCCCACAAGGCCTCCTAGCTTCGCGCTCTCGCGCCGCCCCCCGGGGAAGAAGAGGAGAATGAAGAGGAATCGGAGCCCGACCGCGAAGCGCGAGGCGCGAATCACTGCGCGCCCTCGAAGACGCCCCTGCTCCCAGCACGAGGCCTCCGCCCCGCCCCCTCCCTTCGGAGGTCCTTCCGGGAAGGAGAGGGGGGAGAGCCTCCGGGCAGGCGGCCTGGCCTGGCTGGCGGCACCCCCGCGCTTCCTCTGGGGGGGGGGGGCAGTGGAGCTCTGCGAGGCCGCAAGGAAAACCGGTGCGGGGACGACGACGACGACGACGACGACGACGACGACGTCGTCGCCGCCGCGCGGGATCGCCGCGGCCGCTCCCGGAGCCCCCCCCCCCTCGCTCCGAGGAGAGAGGGCCCAGCGCGTCGGAGACGCGTCGCCCGCGGGGGGGTCGGGTCGAGGTCGGCGCCGCGCCGAGGAGGGGCCCCACGGGGGCCTCGCAGCCGCACCGCGGGCGAGACCGCGCCGAGGGGGGGGGGGGGGGCGGGGAGGATCGGAGCGTCTCGGCTGGCGCGGGTTCGACGCCGCCTCAGGAATTGGGGAGCACAAGAGCGCCCCAACCGCACCTGGCCACTCCTCCCAGGGGGGGGAGGGTATGCTGCGTCTGTATGTATGTCTGTCTGTCTGTCTGTCTGTCTGTCTGTCTGTCGGTCTGTCTGTCTGTCTGTCTGTCTGTCTGTCTGTCTGTCTGTCTGTCTGTCTGTCTGACTGTCTGTCTGTCTGTCTGTCTGTATGTATGTATGTTGTATGTATGCTTGTGTGCATGTATATATATACACATGCACATCTATATATATGTATATATATATATATAGATGTGCATGTATATATATATATATATAAGCATATATGTGCGTTCAGTCCGTGCGCCGCTGTCGAGACATCCTCGCAATCGGGTTTCGATACCCGTAGGCCCATCCCAACAGTGGAAAGGATTCAGGTGGGGGTGAACATGTGCTTCCTGTCCCTCAGAAAGCATCTCTCGGAAGCTTTTGGTCGTCCCCATGGCGTCCGATGCGCGCAAAGCGGACATGCTGCAACGACGCCCCATGGCGCGAGTGGGCGCTATTGGTCGCCATTGGACGCTGTTCGAGGCCTAGTTGAGCGCTACTGGGCGCTGTTGGGAGCTGGACGTGACGCTCTTGAGCGCTGATGGGCGGTTTCGCCTGTGCACGTTGAACCCAAGACGAGCGGAAGCGTCTGTGACTTACTGTCTGAGGGGCGGACACGCGCCTTCTTCTTTCTTTCCCCATAAGATTTGGACGCCCGACATGGGTACCGAAAAAATGGGCACTATGCCAAACAACAAATGTTGTCCCAAGCCAACAGCGGCCGCTGTTGGGCAGGCGGCCTTCTGTCTCGGATGGACACAGGCCGCGGCGGCGTGGACAGCGACTCCTGTTCAAAGTGAACAGGAACTGCTGTCGGGCATGGTACCCATTCTTTCAGTACCCACTTCGGGCGTCCAGATAAGAGAACTGAGGACGAGGACGAGGTGGGTAGAACCGCCCGGCGACCGTCCAAATAGGCGGTCAGGGCGGCATCTCCACCGCGGGCGGGGTCGCCGCCGCCGCTCGCCGGCGCCCTCGCCGCCCCCCCCCCCTTCCAAAAGAAGGGGCAGCGATCCGGGGGGAACGGGCTCACGGCCTCCTCCTCCTCCTCCTCCTCCTCCTCCTCCTCCATCCCTCCTCCTCCTCCTCCTCCTCCTCCTCCTCCTCCTCCTCCTCCTCCTCCGCGCACAACAACGGAATCGAGGGCAGGGGGCCGCCCCGTGAGGATCGACAGCAGCACACCGTGCGGTGCTGCCGCCCCGGCATCCCTCTGTTAACGGGCAGACGACCCGGAGACGGAGACCGCTGCACCGCGTGCGGACGTACTCCTCAACGGCTCTGGGCACCTTATCCAGAGAGGCCAGACGGAGACCGCCCGAGATGTGCGGACTTACTCCTCCCGGACTTGGCAGCCAGTCCAGAGATGCCCAGTCCAGACGGAGACCGAGCGATCCATGCGGGCTTACTGCGCAGAGACTTGTAGCATCCTCCGAAGACGGAGGAGGGAGGGAGGGAGGGAGGGTCAGTCAGCATCGACATGGGCAATCGCCTCGACTCGAAAAGTGCATCAGATCGGGCCCTCCTCCTCCTCCTCCTCCTCCTCCTCCTCCTCCTCCTCCTCCCTCCTCCCTCCTCCCTCGTCCTCCTCCTCCCTCGGGCTGCATCGGCACGGCAGGGAGACCGAATCGGATCGGCTGCGCCAGGAGATGCACGGCGGCACCAAGCAAGCATCGGGCCGTACCGCCCGACTGCCATCGCCGGAGCAGCGGAACCATAGTCGGATCGGGCAAGTCCGACATCGAGCAGGATCGCTCGAGAGAGGAGATGGGGAGGACGACGCCCCGCCGGAGCGACCCGCTCCCTTCCTGCGCCGCTGCGGTGAACATCCGCGTCGACTCGGGCCGAGAACGAGATCAGAGCAGCCATCGACCGGATGCGTCGGGTGGAACCCCAAAGGAGAGATCCCCCCAACCGAGCACCTGGCGAGGAGGGCGGGGGAGGGAGGGGGGGACCCTGAGGTCCGGCAGCGCTAAAACACTGCACAGGGGGGCCCGTCCTCCGACTGCACCGTGCTCGAGGCAAGTCGACCCGCTGGGGCCCCGCGGCCCGAAGCGAGGCAGCACCTGCCGGTGGCGGAAAGATTGCGGCGCCCGGAGCTCAGAGGAGGACGCCGCCGCCGGGAGTCCGTGTACCACTCGAAGAACTTCGTGTTACCGTCCGCGTCGGTGGCCTTCCAGTCGGCGAAGGCGGGCAGGCCGATTGCGGCGAGCTCGCCTGCGCGACGGCCGCCGCCGCGGAGGACGACAAGGAGTGCGACCATCAGGAGGAGGAGGACGACGAGGATAAGAAGTAGGAGGAGGTCCAAGAGTAGGACGAGGAGGAGGAGGACGACGACCAGGAGAACAAGCATGAGGAGCAGGACGAGGAGGAGGAGGAGGAGGAGGAGGAAGAGGAATAAGAGAAACGAAAAGAGGAGGGCTGCAAGCGCTTGAAACACACGGGCGTGAACCTCTTGGATCCGCCGCAAGACCACACATGCGCACCGCTTCTGACGCCCCCCCAGGCACCTCGAGCTGGCACGACTGTCCGATATCCGAACAGCGGCGCCGCACAGGCGGAGCCAGACACCCGGATGACCGCCGAACGAGAGGGAGGGCAGGAGGAGGAGCGGCAAGAGAAGGACGGCGAGGGGCGATGGCAACAACAGTGGTCGTCAGGTGGGTCCACCTAGCCGCTGCGCGCGCGGCCGAAGGCGCACGGACCGCCTCCCACATGCCAGGGCTCCTCAGCCTGCGCGCACGAGCCCATTCCGCGACCGAATCGGGCGACTCAAACCGTGCAGACGGGCAACCTTCCAGATGTCCTGAACGGGAACATCTGTGCTGGTGGAAACTCGTGGGCTCCGAGGAGGAAGGGAAGGGGGCGGAGGAGAAGGATGAGGACAGGGACGCGGAAGAGAACCAGGAGGAGTAGCACGAGAAGGATGAGCAACGGCAGTGGGAGAGGAAGACGGCGAGGACCAGGAGGATGACGTCAGGAGGAGAAGGGCAACGACGAGGAGGTTCGGAACGGGAGGAGAAACGCGAGGAGAAGGACCAGGAAAAGGGGCAATCAATTTTGTAACCTACGTCCGTGGGGACGGGTATGAAACGTAGCTGGCGCTGCACTGAAAAATGCAAGCTTGTCTTCAACCTGTCGGAACGACTCCTTCGCAGGGAGGCGCTCCCCAAACACTCGTCGGCTCGCAGGCGCAGGTGCGATGATCAATCGGCTGAGGGACGCGCCCCGTATGATTGGATGGAGGTGAGGCGAAATCAAGTAACCGCGAAGGGCCTTGAAACCCCTTCACCCCCAATGATTGGGGGAAGGGGTTTCAAGGCCCTTCGCGGGCTGATTGACGGATTTGGACCCCCGACGCTACCCTGGGAAATAAGTATTCCCAGGCGACGGCCACCGCTGATGATGATCGGGGGGAGGACCCCTGATGGTGATGATGATGATGATGATGATAATGATAATGATAATGATGATGATGATGATGATGATGATGATGATGATGATGATGATGATGATGATGATGATGATGATGATGATGATGATGATGATGATGATGATGATGATGATGATGATGGTGATGATAGTGGTGATGATGATGAGGGGAAGGACAAGGAAGAAAAGAACGAATTCCATTGCCAGCCGAGAGTGCAGGGCGGGCCGGTGGGCAATACAGACCCTCTGATGCTAATGTAACGAGATGCTGCAGCTTCTGGGCTGGCGCTCTCGTGACTACATGGCGCCGAGGGCTCCGCCCACGCGACTTGCAATCCAAAAACTTTTGCTCAGCGTGTCGCGGAGGCGGCCCCCGCGACACGCCCACCCTGCAAGCGGACGGCGCGTCGCTCCACTCCGCGGGGCGGGATGCTGGGCGGGGCTCGGGTGCAGCTGCCGGCCGGGGCTCGGGATGCTGGACGCTGGGGGACCGCGACGTGGTGCAGCGTGCCGCGCCGAAGCGCGGTGGGCCAAAACCGGCGACGTGGCACGCTACGCCAAAGGTCCGGACCGTGACTGGTCGGCGGAAGTGGTCAGGCTGCGGGCTGCGCGCAGACCGGGGCTGAACCTCAACGGTGTGGTTCGCTTCCGTTCTGTTCTCGTTCTCCCTCGTGTGGTCTTCCATCCACCTTGAACGCAAAAAAAACGAGATCGAAACGAAAGCGGCCCACGAAGTCGCCAACACACCGTTTGGGTCCACCCCGGGCGCAGGCAGCTCCCCCGGGTGGCCCCGGCTGGCCTCAGCACCCAGGCGCCACCTGCGGCGGCGCCTGCGGCGGCGCCCCCGGGGCGCTCCGCGCCCCTGGGCTGAGGCCTTCGGACCACCCTGGGCTACTCTGCGAGGCCAATGCTCATGCGCCACCACCGCCCGCAGCAGTAGTTTGTCGCCAAAAGTGCCAGCGGCAGGGTCATGCCAGACGGTGCTGCGACGCCACGGCGCAAAGGAGCGCGGCACAGCTCCCAGGCGCACGCGGCATGGGGAGCTCCTGAAGCAGAAACAGAAACAGCACCTCTTGGTGGTGGTGTATAAGAATCGCTCCTCTTGGTAACCAAAATTGTATACACCACCACCGCGCGCGCTTTGATGACTTCTGCTCGGTCCTACAGAGAGAGGGGGCAGCCCGGTTGCCGTTGGCGGCGGGAGGGGGACTGCGGGCTTTTCACCAGAGCAAAACTGCACAAACTCGTATCGTAGATTACTCTCGATCTTGGTGGTGGTAGTCATACACTGTGCTCGGATACTCGGAGGGCCTGTCGAGGCCAGCTGGGACCACTCGGGGGGCCTGCTGAGGCCAGCGGGGACTGCCTGAGGGGGGGGGGGAGGGGTCTGCACGTAGTCCGAAGCCCCACCAGCCGGAAGAATTCGAGGTCGCTGGCCCTGGGGGACTGCTGACAGGCCGGCATTGGTCTCGCCATCGCTCGGACGTCCATTCCCTGTGCACGCTTCGATTTCGTGCGCGCCCTACTCGCTAGATGATCCAGGGTGCTGGGCTCCTCGCCCAGGAGACATGCACACGTCCGAGCGATGCCGACGTCGGCCAGACAGTCCTGCCGAGGCTGCAGCCGGCGGCAGCGCCCAGGCCACGGCTCTCCGGGGAGGCAGAGGCGGGGCCCTCCGCGAGGCGGGCGCGTGGCCCCGAGGCTGTCCGCGGGGATGGGTGGGGAGGGCGGGGGGGCAGACGTGGAGAGGCGGGGGCCAGGGCGCCGGCGGGAGGAGGGGGAGCGGGGCAGGGGGTGATGGTTTCGAAGACGCACACCTGGAACAGCTCACAGAAAAGGATCGTGGCCTCGGGGACGCAACCGCTGCGCAACTCACGGGGGAGCGTGGCCTCGGGGACGCGACGATCGCATCATCTGCATGGCATCGTGGCCTCAGGGGGCGCGAACACTGCGCCGTTGGCCTGGGACCCCGGCCTCCGGGCCGCGACGATGGCGTGAACTCCGAAAGCTCGTGGCCTCGGGGGCACGAGCGCCGGGTGCTTCACGAGGGGTGCTCGCTCGGGCTGCGCAGAGGTGCCCACACCGCCGCTCCACGGGCCTCGCCACCGGCGCGCTCTGTGGCCAGCACCTCGGGGCGAGCCCGGCCGTGGCGCGGCGAGGGGAGGGCGGCGGTGCTGAGTGCTCGCTCCTCCTCAGGAGGGCGGGCGCGGAGACCCGGACTCGAGCTGGGGCCGACCGTCCCGGCATTCCTGTGGGCCTACCACGACATGTTCCTGGCACGCCAGGGTGTTCCAGTAACAGGAGCAGGGTCCCCAGACCAGATACCCGCAGACCGGAAACGAGAGATATAGTCTCGGCCAGACATGCTCTGAGAGCACCCCGTGCAGATCACGAAAGGCTCTCAGAGCATCCCATCGGTGGGCCTGTGGGCGAGCCAGGACGCTTCGCTGCTGCTTGACAGGCATCGAGGCGCCGCGAGCAGGCAACACGCGGAGAAAAAACTCGGCCTCCCGTGGCCGCTCTCGAGCCCCTGGACCATCGGGGGGCTGGCCAGGGCCAGGGCGCAAGACCAGCCCCACGACTAGAGCTCGAGGAACACGACCAGCCCGAAAAAACACGAGGCCGAAGGCCTGGGACCCAGGCGCGCGAGGTCTTGAGTTTGTCGAACGTGGGCCCCCGAGCATCGATCTCGCATGGTTTTTGCTTCATGCTCCCAGGTCGCGGACACGGCAACTACAGGCGGAAGCAGCGCGCAAAGCTCAGTCGCACGTCTTACCGATACCATCGAGGCGCGGGGAGATGGGGGGGCATAGTCCGTTGCAGCCTCCTTCTCCTCCTCACCCCCGCGCATACGGTCAAGTCTTTCCGCTCCACGTGTCGCGGCGGCTGCCCTGGCGACACGCTGTTCCCTGTAGGCGGGCAGCGTGTCGCTCCGCGGGACGGGATGCTGGGAAAGACTCGGGAGGTTGAAGCTTGGGGACCGCGACGCGGTCCAGCGTGGCGCGCCGAAGCGACGCCACGCGCCAAGCCAAGGTGCGCGATTGCACGTCCCCGCTCGTTCGCTCTGGCCGCCTGCGTCGCTGCTGATGACCGAGCCCTCCACGATCTCCTCGGCCGAGGACGAGGACGAAGTGAAGGAACAGGACGACATGGAAGAGGAGGAAGGATGATGACGGAGACGGAGAGTTGAAGGAAGGATGTTGACGAACATGAGGAGGAGGAGGAAGAAGAGGAGGATGAAGAGGAGAAAAGGAGGAGGACGAGGCTGAGGAGGCCGAGGGCGAGGAGGAGGAGGAGAAAGAGGAGGAGGAACGGGAGGCGGAGAAGACGAGGAGGAGGACAACGGCGACGATGACGAGCCCAATATAGCCAGTGGGTCGTGGATGATTTGTCCGGGCCTCTCTCCTGCTCCTCCTATACGTTTACATTCGTCACCCGTCCTCCCCCATCCTTGTTATATCTGTGTGATACGAAGGCTTGCATTTCCCCCCCCCCCACGAGAAAGAATTTGAAACGCTCGCTCGCATGGGAATTCAGTTTCCTCCGCACCACCAGGGGATCAGCAGCACCGAAATGCCGACGGCGCCGACTCCAGGCCAACAGGCCGTTCCCACCCGTCCCGCTTGCCCGCCTGCACCATAGCGGCGGGGTGCACCCGGCGGGAACCGCGCGGTTCCCTAGGGGCTGCGAACTGCGCAACTATCGCCACTTCCTTGGGCTCCTGGGAAGCCCAGCGGAACGGAACTGTCAGCGCACCCATCCAACCCTCGCGGCTTTGGGGCGCTGGAACCTGAGCACGTGTCGCCATTTTCGTTGGTTCCTGGGAAGGTCAGCGGAGTGGAGCTGTACGCGCACCCGCCGGTGACCTTGCGGCTCTCTGGGTGAATGCGAATTGCGCGGGGTGAAATTGCAAACGCGCCCGGCCAAGACCTCGCGGCTCCCCAGGGGGCAGCGAACGGCGCGCCTTTCTCCACGTTAGCGGGCTTTTGGGAGGCACGGCGGATGAGGGCAGCGCAGATCACGAACCGGGCAAGTACCGCCGCTGTCGTGGGTTCCTGGGAACCACGGCGGGGGTGAGGGCAACGCAAATCACTTTGACACCTCGTGGCTTCTGGGTTTGCGATGCGCACAATTCTCGCCTGTTTCGTGGGTTCCTGGGAGGCACGTGAAGGCAGCGCAGATCATTTGAGACCTCGCTGCTCCGTCCGGCGATGCGAAGTGCGCGACTGTCGCCACTTTCATAACCTTCTGGGGGGCACGGCAGAGCGCCGGCCAACACAAATCATTTGAAAGCTCGCGGCTCCGTCGGGGGCTGCGATGTGCGCCATTTTCGTAAACTCTTGGGAGGTATGGCCGAATGCTGGGCAGCTCGGATCATTTGAGACCTCGCGGCTCCCCCACGGGCTGCGAACTGCTCGGCTGTGCCCGCTTTCATGGGCTCCTGGGATGCTCGGCGAACTGCACAGCAACGCGGATCCTTAGATTGTTCGCGGCTCCATCCGGGGCTGCGTAGTGCGCGCCCGTGGCCACTCTCATGGGTCCCTGCGAGACACGGCGGAATCGAAGTCAACGCTGATCATGTGGGACCTCGCGGCTCTCTCGTGGGCTGCGAACTTCGCAGATGTCGCCGCCTTCGTGGGATCCTGGAAGCACGGCGGAGTGCAGGGCGCCCACATGGCGAATGCCCACATGGCGCGTGGCGCCGACGCGTCATTTAGCGCGCAGCGCTGTTGCATCACAGAGGGCAGTGCGCCAGAACGTCACGTAGCACACGGCGCTGTCCTCAGTGGCCCACTCCTGGGCAAGTATGCTACGCGCGTGGCCCGACATTGTCAGGCGAAGAAATGTCAGCGCGCTGCATATCTCGCAATGTGTTCGTCTGTATGGAACGTTCATCTGACCAGTCGCCTCGCGTAGAGAAATGGTTGGGTGAGTCACGGGACCTTGCTGTGTTCGTTTATCTCGATGGGTTTCCCAAACCTCCTGTGTTGGGTTAACGTTTTGAATAAAGCACTATGGTCAACGCCCTCCTTCTTCTCTCCTTCTCCTACCGCTGTGTTCCCAACCCTCCTGTGTTGGGTTCATGTTCTGAAAACAGCACCGTGGTTTCCTCCTCCTCCTCCTCCGTTTCCTCTTCCTTCTCCTCGCCGTTCCCTGGGGCTGCGAACTGCGCAACTGTCGCCACTTTCGTGGGCTCCTCGGAGTCGCGGAGTGGAGGGTCACGCACTCCCAGCCGAGACCTCGCGGCTCCCTGGGGGCGGCGAATGGCGTAACTGTCGCCACTTTCGCGGGCTCCTGGGAGTCCCAGCGGACTGGAGGGCCACGCACACCCAGCCGAGACCTCGCGGCTCCATGGGGGCGACGAATGGCGTAACTGTCGCCGCTTTCGTAGGCTCCTGGCACGCCACACACATTCAGCCGAGACCTCGCCGCTCCGTCGGTGGCTGCGAACTGCGCGATTGTCGCCAGTGTCGTGAACTCCTGGTAGACTCAACGAAGTGAAATTGTACGCGCACCCAGCCGAGACCTCGCGGCTCCATGGGGGGCTGCGAGCTGCGCAACTGTCACCTCTTTCGTGAGTTCCCGGGGGGTCCAACGGAGAGGGGGGCCACGCACACCCAGCCGAGACCTCGTGGCTCCCTGGGGGGCTGCGAATGGTGCAACTGCCGCTTGCGGAGTGCACGGCAGCGACGATCGTGCAGATCTGGCGATGTGTGTGTGTGTGTGTTGTATCCAGCGTTCACACAACTATTCGCCTCGCGTGGAACGAGGGGTTGGGCACGTCTCATGTAATCAATTGTATGTCTTGTTCTCCGAACCATGCTTGTATTTCCGGGTTCTTACGTCTGTCCTGCGGAACTGGGCCTGGCCGCCGGTCTGGCAGCTATGTTGCCGCCGTCGCCCCCCGTCGACCTCTCGTCGGCACCCGTCGTCTGGGCCCGACCGCCGGACTGGCGGTTATGTTGTCGCCGTCGCCACCCCGTCGCCGCGCCGTCGCCACCCGTCGTCTGGGCATGGCCGCCAGTCTGGCGGGGTTCTGTTGTCGCCGTCGGCGCCCCGTCCCGTTGCACCCCCGCACCCCTGTTGCAAACCAATCGATTGCAATCGATGGCAAAATAGATTGCAGCGCAAATATTGCACCACATATATTGCCCGTCAAAGATTGCACCACATAGAGTCCACAACGTAGATTGCACGACATAGGCTGCACAACGTAGATTCTCCTTTCTGGAAGATTGGGATCTACCAGCCCCATCGGACTTAACAGACCACACTTTCGCATTGCAATTTACATATGATTCTGCTCCATCGTCCATCCTAAACATGAACTCATACCATCCCAGGCAGGCCGGAGTTTCCCCCTCATCCTCTGCAAAAACACTATGCGCGCGCACTCGTCTATCAAAAACCATCAGGTTTAAAGAATCCCTTGCCAACAATGGGACGGAGTGCACACGCGCGCGCGTCGTCGCGCGCGCATGCCGAAATCCTACAAACACGAACATGTTTCGTCAGAGTTAGGGGGCCGAACGGTCATTCATTCTCCCTGGGTGTGTGGCTCTAGTGGGGATCCGTGGTGAGGATTCTGCTTGTTGCGTTGTTATTGTGTTGTCGTCGTCCCCCCTGCGACCTACCCCGAGACCCACCCGCGACCCCACCCGCGACCCACCCCTCAACCCACCGCTCAACCCACCCCGCGATCCACCCCGCGACGCACCCCGCGACCCACCCCGCGACCCACCCCGCGACCCACCCAGCGACCCACCCGCGACCCAACCCGCGACCCACCCCGCGACCCACCCGCGACACACCCACGACCCATGCGCGACCGACCCGCGAGCCACCCGCGACCCGGCCCGCGACCCACCCGCGACCCACCCGCGACTCACCCCGCGACCCACCCCGCGATCCAACGACATTGCTTTAACGAAAAAATCGGCGCCTGCAGCGGGCTCAATGCATAGTTTGTAAAAGTTGGACGCCTTCGGCGGCCTTCTTCAGAGCCTCGCAGACTGACGACGTCCTCGCAGCCCCCTCAATCTTATCCGCAACTGCGGGGTGCTAAATGAGGATTTCAAAGCCGAGAGTCACGACAACATATCAAAACACATGGCTTCGCAACGAAGGTTTTCAAAAAAAGCCTGCGCCCGCGCTCTTGCGAATTCTTAAGCAACCATGTGAATTGGGTGTGTGCAAGAGCATGGGATTTGTCAACTCGTTTGTGTAACCAATTGCACCACAGATCTATATATATATATATATATATATATATATATATATGCACATACACACATATATACAGCTCAGTATATACTGCTATACACACAGCGTTTGGGGCACACGCTGTCTAACATGTGATATGTGGGAGGTCGAGCGGAAGTCAAATGACACATGTCGGCGAGCGCCCAGGTGTGGTCCGCGGGGGCCGCGGTGGCGCGTGCGCCCCCGTTGACATCGTTTTGGTTTTTGTTGCATGATTGTTTGCCCGATGATCCAGGGTGCTCCCCGATTGTCCTCGCAGAGAACAATGCACAAGCCCAAGCGATGGCAAGCCCCAGGCGGGAGCGCCGTGTGGCGAGTCGAGGTCGCGAACGCCTGCTTAGCGTGTCGCGGGCACGCTAGGCCCTGCGAGCGGATGGTGTGCCGCTCGGCTCCCAGGGGCGGGAGACTGGGGAGAGCTCGGGACGCTGACGCCTGGGAATGAGGACTTGGACAGCGTGTCGCGCCGAAGCGCGGTGGGCCAGAACCAGCGAAGCGACAGGCTATCCAAAGGTTCCCGACTCTGTGCACGAGATCAGGGTCGGATTGTGCAGCGCACCGCGTGCCATGTAGGCAAGGTCTTCGGAAGACCAGATGCGCAAGCCCGAGTTTGCACACCCGCCTTCCTGAAGGAAGAGGAGGACGAGGAGGAGGGGTAGAAGTAGAAGTAGAAGTAGTAGTAGTAGTAGTAGTAGTAGTAGTAGTAGTAGTAGTAGTAGTAGTAGTAGTAGTAGTAGTACTAGTAGTCGTCGTCGTCGTCGTCGTATTATTATTATTAATGATAGAAATAGTCGTAGTAGTAGTAGTAGTAGTAGGAGGAGGAGTAGTAGTAGTAGAAGTAGTAGTAGT